TTCATAACAAATCATTCCTCCCATGGCCCTTAAGAGTCCTGGTGACTTGGTCACCTTTTACCCTTCAAGTCCTGCTCACTCCAGCTACACGCTGCCTCATTAATTAGCTCCAGTCAGAATGAATTCTGTTCTCTTTTTTCTCATCCAGCTGCTCCTCATCTTTCAGCTCTCCCCTGATATTTTTTTCTGCAAAACCCTGTGTAAGATGTAACGAAGGGAAGGCTGCCCTCCTTTGTGCTCCGAAGCACCTTGCTCTTTCTCCTGCCCTAACCCCACACTCAAATTGTCTTGGTTTTCTACCCCTGTTCCATCTGAAACTTCTTAGGGATAATGACTTTCTTATATGCCATCATGTCACCAGGTCCTAGTGTAGCTTTTGGGATGTATACATCACTCCAAATGTTTGCTCAATAAACGAATAATATCAGGGCGTAAACCTTTTCAATGTTCATTTTTATATTCTAGATTACAGCCAAACCTTTCTTCTACCACAGCCTAAATGTGATTTTGTGCATTCATTCAAAAAATATCAGCTTCCAAATTGAGCACTGTGTAGGGCCTCTGTGCCCAGGCTTCTGGCACCATAGTGTTTATTGTAAAATAGAGTCTCAAGACATGCTTTTGTAATGAAGTAATTAGTATAAAGATGATTAATATGTCCATTTCCTATGTCATTTAGAAAACTTTTTTGTGTGTAATTAATGTTGACATGGGTTAGAATATGGGAAAAGTCAAGTGGGAAGAGTTGTTTGTAGCATTTGTTTGCAAAGAATGAGGCAAACAGGAATCTTTGCTGCATAGGGAATGTTGACCTAAGCAGCCCATGGGGTTGATCACTGACTCCTGAGAAAGAAACTACTGAGTCTGATGTAGCCTAGTGCGTAGCTAGTTTTGACAAGGATAATATAACCAACTGAAGTGATTATGTGTGATATGTTTTTAATGATATTCTCAAATGCCACCAGAGTCAAAAGTACTCTCCTCATTTATTTGCATGTCCATTGTTGATGCAGCTGAGTGTAACAGATTAAGAGTTCCAGCCCTGAATCTAAGCAGCCTTGGTTTGAATCCAACCCCTACCACCTGGTAGCTACCTGATCTTAGATAATTAACTGAACTTTATATTGCAGAGCACGTGCAATAGAATTGACAAAAAAAGTAGCACTTACCTCACTGGGTTATTGTGAGATGTAAATGAATCTATAAAAGTTCTTGACAAACAGTGTGAGCCCAATAAATGTTAGTTCTTATGATACGTTTAGATGTTGTGAACACAAAGTGAAACCCTTGGCTGTAGTTTCTGTACTCATGTAGAATGCTTGTCATTTGCCTGTTTTTCTTTACCGTATAGTTAATTCTTTGCCTTCTTCTTTGCCTGACTTCTATGTACTATGGTTCCCACACTTCGTTGCCAATTACTGGAGTGTAGCAGAAGGTTCAGATAAGAGATGGAGGATGGGAGGCCAAGAGTCTCTTTCTTTTTGGGTGATGTTAAAGAAAGCCAGAGCTGGAAATTAAAGTGGTAAGAAGAGAAGTTATTCAGGTATTATTGCAATGGGGGGAAGAGAGTTCAGTATGCAATTTGGTTGAATTCCAAGCACAGCATGGAGATTTATAACAAAAAGCAGGGTGGGGGGTCAGTGGATGGAAATATACTAAGAAAACACTAACAATAAAAGGAGGACACAGGTTGAACAGACTTAACAGAATTTTTGCTGAAGCGGGATAGGGTAATCAGATACCAAGGAGGGATGAATATTTGGTCAGATACCAAAAGTGATCAGACAGGCAGGTGAGGGCTTCTGTCTAAACTGACTCTGGAAGACTCCTGTTACAAATGGGCTGTGCAGCCTTGATGAAAATGCAGGCTGAAATAGACACCTAGAGGGCTTGGAGGAGTTTGACTGGAGTTTAGTCGAGGAGGGGGTTGCTGTCGGTGCCTTCGCTAGCGGAAGCTGTGTGGTCTCCATTTTCTATCTCTTTCTTGAGTCTTTGTCCATGTTCCCTGGCCCCACTTCAAAGCCCCATTTCCAAGGCTTTCTGCCAGCTTTCTGCTTAGGCACTGAGGCCAATACAGAAGACATTAGAACAAGAGGGAATGACAGATTCCTAATGATGAATATCATGTAATCTTTATCCAGCTGTGCCTGAAGATTATAAATGACTAGAGTTTTAAATGTGTGAGCGACGTCTATGAAAATCCCCCTTTTGCTTAAGCTTCTTTCATTTGGCACTGGGCAAGGCCCAATACCATGTCTACTAATCCTTGAAAACAGTCTGACTTAATATCACTGTATAAAGCAATTGGTATTCTCACTGGGTATTTATTGTTAGAATTCCTATAACTGTTATTTATTGTCCTTCAAGGATTAAGGGTATGAAGATGAGCAAGTTAAACATAGTTTTTCTTTTTGCTAGCACAATAATAAGTAATTAAATTTTTTCAAAAACATTAACTTTTACTATACTTATCCTAAAATCTAGTGTTCTTGCAAATCTGAGCCTTTCCTCTTAGTTGATATGTATCCTAAAACTAAAGGACATCTCATCCATTTTAATAGAAGGAGATAAACTAAAATACAAAGCAAGAACTTTAGGAGGAAAGCTTTCATTTATTTTTGATAAAGTAAATCCCAGGCCTCTAGTTGTTCTTTATGAAACTTTTCCAATGAAGGAGGATTTTTCAGTGTGATGAAATTAACTGTGTCATTACTGTGGGACAAGCGCTCTTTCCGTTGTATGCTTTCTTGGCACTCCCCCATTTTCCTATGATGGCACAATTTGTCTTTTGGTAATGCATGGGTTTGCCCACCACCTCCGTCACGAATGCGAACCCCTGAAGTTTGCTTGACACATGTTCAAAGTTCATTTACTTTGAGGATTTAAAAAAAATATCTTTCATGGTTGATGAAAGTAAATTTATAATCATGGTATAAAAGCACACGTTTGTGCACCTGTGTTGGGAATGTGTGTTGCTCTTAAAATATATGCAGTGGCCTTTTGTTAGTGTTATAATATATGTCTAGAATGCAGTTGCCATGGAAATAATAAAATTTTCTGACCTATGAAAGGTAGAGAGATGGAGTGATGGTAGCTATGATCAGCTGAAAGGCTGCTGGTAAAATAAAGTGAAACTTTAAAAGTGAGGGCCCTTTTCTACCTTAATGTTCAGATCAGAGCAGTGTGGTTTTCCCTTGTGTCCACGAGAATATCCATCATAGTCAGGCTATAGGCTGACTAGTATTCTTTTGATTATTATTTTATACTCAATTTATTGTGAGTACTGAATGAGTATAATCTTGGACTTTTTCATTGTATTTGGTAAGTAATGTTTTACATTATATAAAAGCATGGGTTTTAGTAATCAAACATATTTAGATGAAGACTAATGTCCACAAATGATAATGCTGTTTTTAAAATGGGAAATTCGTCATTCATTTGGAGTGTGATGCCCTGAGATTTTCTTTTCATTCTTCAAGTGCAAGCAGATAAGTCAAATGGTACATTCTCTTGTTAAATGAAATGTACATACTTGGTCCATTCTCTTGTTAAATGAAAATATTCTCTAGGATTCCTGTGTCTATTGGGGAGTTTCCTTTATAACTTCTTGTATAACCCTGAGAATTTTCCACTGCTTGAAGTTTTAAAGATGCTCTAAACCAGAAGCTCGTATAACTTTTTTTTCTAATAATGCCACACGTAAGTGAAATATGGCTTTGGGGACATGGTGTCATTGTCCTGATGACTCAGTGGAGTTACTCTGTGCCAGCACAGTGTTAAGCTTCATGAATGTGGCAATAGATAGAAAATGATTCCTTCCCTCAAGAACCTACTTTGCCAGATGAACAGAGAATATATATTGTGACTGCTCATTAAATGGGGAAAGTAAAAAGGCAAGGACAAAAATTTCAGCTAAATATCAGCTGGATGGAGTGGGCAAATAAGCAAAGACTGGCAAGAAAATCTTGAGATGGAACCCCATGGAAGGATATGCCTAGTTGAAAGGAGGAGGTTGTGTTAAATGTTAGTGAACTTCAAAGTTTGTAAATATGCTGCATATATTCTAAAGAATGTGTCAAATATTGTAATAAAAGATATGAAAGTCAAGGAACTAATGTTAGCAAAGATATAAATGGGACAGGATCTAGTGGTTAAGAGACATTAAGCAGATTGGGAACATTGGGGTGGCAGAAGGTTCTAATTCATATTTTCTAGAGGTGAAGGTGATCAAGAGGTTGCCAGGGCTGTGAATGACAGGTTAGAAGCTTGGACTTACAATGCTACTGAAGGCAACATGGCTTAAACCAGTAATTTAGGATCAAGGCGAACATCATGGAATGGTGATTAAATAAACTGCCACTGACTTCTTAGTGAGAAATAACCATTCAGTAAATGTGAGTGAAATTTGGTTGCAAATAAAACCAATGTGAAACAAAGACAAAAGACCTGTGGGGTTTGGGTTGGTGGTTTGTGACTAGGAGGTCTTGTCAGCTCTTGCTTGAACCTTCTACTCCTCTTTCCTCAGGTGATTAATTGCTAAGATACTGTCACATCTGGTCTTTCATTGTGGATATGAATTGAAAAAGCCTAGTTTTATGGCTATGAAATAGTATAAAATATGTATAATATGTTGGGTTTTTCCTCACTGGCTAGCTTTCAGTGAGTTAATTCCACTGGAGAAACTGTCTCACCTTGATGTTGCAGAAATGAAAATGAGGTCTTCTCTACTATTCACATTCATCACTGCAATTGTGAAAATGGACTGTAGCATTGTCAACTCTGGGTTTTTAAAAAATTTTATCTTTTGGAAGCACAATGGGTAATCTGTGCCTAACGTTAAATGATACCAGTTGTGTCCAACATGGGACAGCCATGCAGTGGGGCATACTTTTTGCACAGGTAGTATAGTATCCTACAGGTTTTGCTTCTGCATGTTTTTGAATTTGAAAGCATTATCAAAAATAAGCAGTCTTAGAATCTTTTCTTTCTTCTTTTTAAAGGATCTTCTTAAGAAGTGCTACTCAGCCAAGGCATCATACCTCTTCCAACAGGATAAATTCTATGATGTCAGCTATGATACAGGAGACAAATCTATTCAATGTAGCAGGAGACCAGATGCATTCAAATTCTGGATGACCTGGAAGGCCCTGGGGACCTTAGGCCTTGAAGAAAGAGTTAACCGTGCTCTTGCTTTATCTAGGTACTGTGTGTGTGTGTGTGTGTGTGTGTGTGTGTGTGTGTGTCCCCACATATATTCTATAATAGAAAAACCAGATGGAATTAACCTTGGTAAGGTCACACATGTTCTTTGGCTTGTGAATGCAGCAAATATTTTCTTAATACATACTATGTGTTAGGAACTGTGCACAGAGCAGTACTTCTATCTGCCCTCCATGATCCTAGCCTTCTGACAGATGTGTTCAGATGAGAAAGCAGGTGAAATGCAAGCAAGTGTCCTGTTTGGTAAGAGAAGTATATATATGGTGCTCCAAGAGCAATCGGTGGGTTCCTTAGTTTATTCTTAAGGAACATTGGCAGAGTCTTCTTGAAGGAAGATACTCAACTGATATCTACGGAAGAGGAGGGAGGGAAGAATGGTCCAGACAGAGGCAGGACCAGTCCCAAATCTCTGGGTGAGAGAAAATTCAGAAGTCAGTGTGACTTTAAAGGCTCATAAAACAGACCTGTGAGACTGTGGGGACAGTGGAAAAGGATAAAGAAAAGAGTAATGTGGGAGCATTGTGTTTCCCTGCCTTTTGTTATCATTTTGCCATAATTTTCAAGAACATTAGAAAAAAATCTTGAGACATAGGTGCCAGGCACTTGCCACCTGAACAGGACTCAGCTGCTAAATTAGAGCAATTGGTACAAACAAAGAAGACACAACCAAATTTAACTTTAAATGTGTTTTGTTGAGTATACCCTACATAGGGTTGAACTTAACGATGTTAATAAAATGTTTATTTTAAAATATATTTTCCCCAAATTGATATTTTTGGCATTTTTCAAAATGTTAGAAGGCTCTTCATTCTACATTGTACCACTTAGCTGAACATGATTATGCCTAAATCTATGGAGAACGAGACCTCCTGGTACTTTCTACCCTTTGTGTGTGTATGTATTTAAAGTCTAGCCTACTACTGTAGCACTAAGGCACAAGTGATTCAGAACCTAGTTTTATCACTGATGAGCTATGTGACATGGGCAAGTTTCTTAACTTTTTTGGATCTTATTTTTATACCAGTGAGATAGTAATAATACTATCAACAATTTCAAATAGTTACTGTGGAAAGTAAGAGAACTGACATATGTAAAACAACTAAAACAATACCTAGGACATGCTATATATTATATGAATTATATTTTCTTACCTGTTTGGCCAGAGTTTATGATCTCTGGTTCAGATAGTCTTTCCCTCTTTACTTCTCATTCACACATCACTCACAAAAACCTTACATATCTTCTCAAAGATTCATAATAACTTCTTCTTACTCAAGAAATGGAATGAATATTCTCTGGAAACTCAGCGTTTTAAAACAACAATTATTTATTCTCAGGGGTCTGCAACTTGGGCAGTTGGATTTTCCCTCATACTCTGGAAGCAGGGGTATTGGAGTCTACTCTTCACATTTTTGTTATCTTCCTTTGGCTAGCAGGGTAACTGGGGCATATTTTTGTGATGGCCATGACAGAAGCCCAAGAAAGCAAACCCACTTTAATTCCAGATTAGGTTATATCTACTTACTTTCCATTAGTCAAAGCAAATAATATGGCCAAAGAGTACACAGTTAAAGACATCACCTTGATACTTTTAGAAATTAGTAATCCTGGTAATTATAGTATAAAATGTAGTTTAAATATCTGTGAATATTATGTCAGGGTTCTTTGGTGATAAGCAACAGAAACAATCATGCTATTATAAACAGAAAAGCAATTTATTACCTCATATTACTTGTAAGAATAGTGGAGAGATAACTCTTGAAATAGCTTCAGAGTTTTATAGAGTATCATAAGGCTTTAATCTATCTGTACCATTCAGCCATGCTTTTTTCATGTTAGATTTATTCCCATGTAGGAAGGTGGGTGTCAGAAGTCAGATCTTTATTCTCCCAGGTTCAAGATCAAAGTCAAAAGGAGACTGTGGCCCTCTTATAACAATCCCAGAAAAGTATAATTACTAATGAGTGAGGGAAATGTCCCTCTCAGAACCAGTCATAGTTTGCCAGGGGAATGTGGTACATGCATTGGTTTTGCTGAGTCCTATGTCCTTGCATGGCACTGGAAGACTATCAACTCCTCCTACAGGGACATTCACAAACCAGGTAAGGAATGTGCCTTTACTATGAGTAGGGTTAAAGTGCCTCTATTAGGAGTGGAAACTACCAAATAGTGAAAAAATGAAACTGTACCATAAATATTCACAGTTACCCATTAAATTAAAATAAATTTCAGGAATCTATTTCCTACTTTTTATTTTCTTGTGCTATTTAAATGTGGTTGAGTCTCTGCGTTATTTTGTCAAAGCTGCTAAGTAATTCAATGAAAGGTGTCTTGAAATAAGACTAGATATAAATATTTGATGATTGTTTTTCTTATGAAGTTAACATTCATCTCAGGATGGAATTTAGTTTATAGTCTAAGAAGACTTTCTAATTTTTACAGTGAAATATCACAGGGGGATAAATGTTAACATTTCAATTCATTTCAGCAAACACTTATTATTTGTAAATGTTTGTCAAGTTGAATTGAATTAGCATTTCAGTGCATATAACTGCAGACTTGTAACCTGTATTTAAGTATTTGAAAAAGATTCTTTTCTCTTTCATACCATTATTCATAATAGTTCTTTTGACTTCCTTTTCCACACTATTGGTCTCCAGCAACTCACCAATTCATGTGATTGGCCAAATTCATCCTCTTGTCTCACCCTCAATGCCAAGAAAAAAGAAGAGTCTTTCCATTTGTGTCCCTTGGAGAGAGTTTCTCTAGGATGATGAATCATAGTGAATTAGCAACAGAAGGACTTCATTTTCCAGATTTTTAAAAATTTTTTACCATTTTGCAGTCCTGCTGTTTTAGAAAAGAAATAATATATTATCTCAATTGTGTTATCTGTTCTGTTGCTTCATCCTATGCGCAGTGGTGTGCTGGTGAATTGACTCTCAGGAGGAAAACAGAAGCCACTATTTGAAGTCTTTGCCAATTTTCATGGTGTAAATATTCCCAGTATGGCAAATTGAAAGCTACCAGCAGAAGTGATGGGCAAAATCCTGGGATATTTAGCAGTGGGCTGTCATTAGCCACTAGAAGCTAGCTCTCAGAACACCACTGATTGTGGGAACCAGCATAACTGTTTCACACACTGAAGGATTAGAATTACAATACTGTTTTCCCTAACCAGCTGATTCATGGGAGTTTGCTTCAGAGTTGAGTAAAGACGTTTTCATCCAAAATCAGAATGCTCTATCAGGCATCATTTCTACATCAGAGTTACTTTGTTTTATTTCCAAGAAGTATAATTGCAGTCAGTGGATAGCAAGATAGTATCGCCACACATGTTAATGGGGCAGCTCTTCAGTGCTCATCTGTTACTGGCACCGCGCTGCAGCTGTAATACCCATTTCTCTAGGCCCAAGGTCAGATCTCTTAAATACTGGAAAAAATCTGCAACTCTTTTCCACCTTTTCTATTACATTAAGAATTTCTCTAATTCTATAGAAACAATTTTTGATGCTTCTGAATACATGGATGCTTTATTTGAAATTTGCATATTGGCCTTAAAATGTAAGGACCAGATTTTGATAGACAGCAGTCACTCTCCTGATCAGATAGCTCTCCCCATCTTCCCTGGGAGAGTAAGAGTATATATTTTAGGATGACAATGCTTCTGATTTTATGTGCTGCCAAAACACCTATCAATAAGGGAAAGAGCAGTGCTTAGAAAATCTCTAAGGATTTCATGAATTTCCATTTGACCCTGTCATTCCAATTGAGAATGCATTTCTCTCAAAAACACATTAATAAGTAAATGGCTTTTTCCTTTGGTTATCAGAAAATCAGTGACACTGGGAGCCTAAAGCAACATGTGATTATTAAGTGTAATTGAAATCCAGCAAGCTCAGGCTTAAGATACTTTTCTGTCACAAAGCAGCAAAATGTGCATCTCTGATCTCTGGTTAGGAAAAGTTGGTTGTGCTTTCCAACCTGCAGGACTACCTGCTGTGGAGGCACCTGCCAGGCCTTTGCTGTGGCGCTCAGGTTAAACTGATATTCATGAAGTAGTAATTTTAAGCAGGCCTCAAAGAGTCATGTGTGTGAGTCTTTTCATCAACAGCAAACAGCTGAGGAACTCCCATTCTGCTCCTTTATTCAGTCTCCAGTGTATCATTTATACCCTTGATGCACAATCTCTGCAATCTCTCAGGTGGAGTTCATTTCACAGACTTGCATGCATTCTGAGGGATTTATCGCTATCAGTCTGGAACAGGTGAGCAGTTACACAATAGTGTTTTTGTGCTACTCTATTTTTCTAGGCAGTGGGAAGGACAGTCTAGAAGAGCCAATGTGCTCAACTTTTTCTTTAAATTGGCAGTTTTTTACAAATCACAATTGCAGAAGAAGAGAGTATGTGGGTGTCTGAGATGAATCACACCACCCATGAGCTGTGTTCTGATATGTGCAGCGCATACGGGAAGCAGATGGAAAAAATATGAGGCATTTTGGGAGGCTCCGTGCATCCATCAGGGTAAATTTCAATGCGGAAGATGAGACTGTAGAGAAACACGGTCCACGATGGACCAGGAGGTGACTGAGCACCTGGAGAAAGGGTCTGGAGCAGCTATGCCCAGAAATGAAAGAATATCTTACAACAAGGACAAGTGAAATTAAAAAATTTAATAGGTTCAGGTAACAACTTGAGGAATTTAGAGTTTGTGATATTGTATGTAAAGAAAGAATTGTTATGAAGCAAGATTATTATTAATATACACTGCAGAACCCACTCAGGATATTGATATGAACTTTCGCCCTTTATAGAGTTGGTGAAAATATTGCTAATATGTATATTTTCCTCTCTTTCTTTTATGCCAAGCTTCGTGGAAAGGACTAAGATGAGTTTAATGACATTATTGTTGCTTTTAAGTCTACACACTCACTTGTTTTTTTGATAGTAGTTTATGATTTTTGTATTATACCCCAAAACTGAATGTACATTTTTTTCCTGACTTCTGGAAGAATTGTTTTTTTAAAAATATATTTTAATTTTAGATACATTGACAAAATTTATGAAGAAGAAGTCATCCCTATGTATGCACACAGCTATGGCCCCAAACTTATTTGACTTCTCCCCCGTAACAACTCATATCACTTAGACATTAGAGGAGGATAGAGCTCCCTGTAGAAGCACTTCTAAACTAGTATTTCTGAACTGTGCTCAGATCTTAGTAGATGATCTTTTAAAAAATGTTTCCATGGTCAAATATAATCAAGAAATGTTAATTACTGTGTTATTCTTCTCTTGGAAATTCAAAGTGCTCATCGGGACACGACAGGCACCGAGAGGGCCTGTAAAATAGAAGTGCTTTTAACTGTGTTTTCACCAGTAAGTAGATACTGTTGATTGCCTCCACAGCACCCACTTTCTCCTTTCCTTGCCACTAATACCTTGGTTTTATTTAGGTAGTAGTGATCTAACTCGGAACATTGATGTAACTGACCACCTTTTGCCAACAATTAGTTTAGGGTTTGGTGTATGGCTCGATCAGTAAGATACAGTGGAATTATGTGAAGACGTCTGGAGCAATTCTGTTTAACGGAATAGAGAGGGGCACATGATAAAGAGAAAATGCTTTTGCCCTTGTCCCTTCTGTTCCTTCTGGGGACACTCTTTAGGTCCCCAGGATGTGACACATGCACTTGTGGTAGTTATTCCTACGAACACAGGAGGAGACCTCGTTCAACTCTGCATGGCCTTGAAATGACAGAAAATACTTGATTCCTGGTGATATTTTTTTTTATTTTATTTTATTTTTTTTTTTTTATTTTGGTTTTTCTCCGGTACCAGGAACCGAACTCATGACCTTGCGCTTGCCAGGCAGGCGCTTTTGCCGCTGAGCTAAATCCCCAGCCCCTCCTGGTGATATTTTTGAGTCATCCAATCAGCTCCATTAATGGCCTGTGTAGTAAGCCAATTTTACTGGGAACTGTAGACAAAAAACAGTCAAATTGGTATGCCCAGTCATGCTCAAAACTTACTTGCTAGTGAAATGTTTTTATGTGTAAAACTTAATAATATGGTGTACCACGAGTCACAGCTTGGAAATTCTGGAGTTAGACTTTGTTGTCCTTGTAAGAGCAGCATTTCCTCTTTCCCAAAATTGCCTCTACCTTCAGCACTACTGGAGTGTGGCCCTGGGCTTCACAAGCTGTAACAGTGATTGCGGTGGGAACACTGATTTCCACACAAGGCCCACGTCTACATGGATAGCCAACAGCAATTTTCATTAAAATAATTCAGACCCGTTTGGAGATGTCTTTACCGTTAGAACAGTGTTAGCCAGTTTGACAGCAGTATTTTAAACTGAAACCAGATATAGCATCTAAGTTTCACATGGTCGTAACCTGTTGGGGAGGATTTTACCAATTTGGATTCTTATCTCCACTACAAGGATGAGGAAACTAAGGCAGGCTCAGAGAGACTGGGGAATATGCTTAGTGTCACAGTGATGATTAGCTGCATGCACAATTAGCATCGCATAATTAGAGTCATTTCCAAGGTTTCAGAGGCCTGAGATGTTAAGGGTTAGGGTCCACCTCCTCAGGGTGAAGTCACTATGTCACTTTTGATTGCCTGGACCTTAGTGCCCAAGAAGACGATAGTTCACAGCATTTTTCTTGTATAGGTAGAGATTGGGTAGACCTGTTTTATTTTGTGCTTCATATTTTTCATTCAAGTTCCTTTTTAAAAATTACAGTAGTAACTATTTCTGTAAAACTCTGCAAAGATGCATAAAAAAAGAGTGGATGAATTCTAATCCCCATTGCACCCACTTCCTTTCTTCTTCTGGTAAACAAATCTTAACTATTTGTGATGTAGCCTTTCATAGTTTTCTCTGTGCTCGTGTCTACAAACAGATAGAGACCACTTCTCCTTTCTTTTTAACAATTTCTTTCAAAATGGGAATCAAATTATCCACTTGTCTCAGCACTTCTGTTTTATCACTGATACATCATAAGTGTCCCTGTGGTTTAATTGAAGTAGACACTATCTACTCATTTTAATAGTTGTACCATGTATTGGGTTACTATAGAACATTTTAATTTGCTATTCTCCGGTTTTGGATATTAATCTTGTTTCTGGATTTTTGTGTAGAAAACACACACATATACACGCAGAGCTTTAGATATATATATATATTTTTTTTTTGGTTTTTCTCTGGTACCGGGAACCGAACTCACGACCTTGCGCTTGCGAGGCAGGCGCTTTTTGCCACTGAGCTAAATCCCCAGCCCCCAGAGCTTTAGATATAACATCTATACATATGTATATTTATACTTTGGTATAAAATATGTATCTTTTTGTCTATTATTGATATTATTTTTTTCCCTAGTAGACCAGCACAAAGGTGATTTGCTTGATCAGAATATATGAGTAGTATATCATGATTTTTAAAAGATTTTTCACCAATACTGGGTGTTGAAACACTTCAATATTTGTTTCCAGTATCATGTAGGGAACATGGTTTAGTATTATTGTTTTCATTTACACTTCTTGACTACCAATGATCTCAAACATTTTTCTGAAGCTTATTAACTACTGGAATTGCTTTTTTTTATAAGTAAGTGTGCTAAAGGTTGGAAAAAATTCCTAGCTACATATCTCCTAAAAGAAATATTCAAGGAAAGGAGTATGTATGTGGAACATCAAATGTATTTTGAGTGTGTGTATGTCTCTGTGTGTTGGTGGGTGGTCACAATATTATTGCTCAAAATGAAAAATCCATGTTAGTTGTTAAGTAATGACAAAAATTATGAGTTTGTATATTTCAAAAATGATATCCATATACAAGCACCAAAATTTAACCTTCTGTGAAAATCTATGTAGATACATTTAGGGAAAAACAACTATATGTTGTGAACTAATGTATGCCACATCCATATTCTAGAATGGCCTTTAACAATGTGATGATGATAATAATCCTCTATTTTCTCAGTTTTTAGAGTTTATAATATTTTTGTATATGAGTTCATTGAATTTTATACAAAAACTTTTTCAGGCTGGAAAATCAGATGGTCTTAGTTCAGTTTTACATATAAGGGAATAGAGGCCTAAGAGAAGGACTGAGTAGTCCTAAGTATTAGTTGAATCGATGTATAATTTAGTGAGACCGTCATGGCACCACAATTCCATGACTGCTCCACAGTTTTTTAAAGCAGTCCTTACTTTTGGGAGTAATGTCTCCTTGTTTCTTTGCTTCTGTTTTGGCTACAACATATAAGATCCCAGTAAATCTCTGGAAAACACACTTTCAGCACTTCTGAATACTTCCTTATGTTTGACTCTGAATTTGAAATATTGGGTCAGGTGTTGTGAACATTTTTAGGGTTAAAGTCAGATCACTATTTTTCGATGTCTACTATTTCAGACTTCTCTTTTGTATAAACAACAAGCAGCCCAATGGGAGAAGAGCTGATGTTGTTTTCCTCTTTGTTCTCAATGTTATTTTAGTCTTTTCCTAATCATGTGTCATATCTCCCATATCTGTACCCCACTGCTGCTGGTGTGACCATTGTCTTTATATTCAAGGTGACACCATAGATATCCTGCCAATGCGTAGCCCACTTTTAACATGATAATAATTATCTTGGAGGAGGTGATGTTGATCTTGTGAGCAAGGACTATACACCAGAAACTCTTTCCTTCAAGTCAGCAAGTATCTGTGCCAAATCCTCATCCAGAATATGGATATGAAACCCATGTATTCAGAGATGTATATCCAGTCTTCTTTACTTGGTTTTTCACATTGGGGTTAAAAGCTGATGTTAACATATGAGACAGTGATCATCTCATTAAGAAGATGTATTTTTTGTTGTTTTCTTTCTTTCTTTCTTTCTTTCTTTTTGAGACCCAGAGAACTGCAGTTGGTGCAGGAGTATCCTTTAAATACTTAACTTTGCCCTTACCTGTATCCTCTTATGTCTGAGCCTTGTCTTTCATTAGAAGTAACAGTTTTGTTGTCAGTCCTAGCTGTGGTCTCCCTTATTTGTAGATTATGAATATAACTGTGACTTTCAATTGTAGGTACCTAGTAGACGAGATCAAGAAAAGAGAAGGATTCAAGTTATTAATGGAAGTAAGTGATTGTGGAATTATGCTCCTGATTTTATCAGTCAACAGTGAGGAAAGTGATAATTTTCTAATCTGTTATATTTCATTGGTTTTTCTGTTGCATTAAGCTAATGACTTAGCTTAATTCATGCAGTCCATTATGCTAATTTACTCTATTAGTAAGAATCTTTCCTTTGTTGGATTCACAGGGAATTCACTTGCCTTTATGTATTGAAAATTAAAATGCTCAATAATAATTACTAGGGATAATGCTGAATAAATTATGACCTCTATCTTGTTATATAAATTGCAAAGTGATTGTACTACAAAAATTCAACTGTGCTATAGTGATGCCTGCATATGAAGAATCAATTAAGGATATGTACAATAAAGTGTACATTTTTCTCTTATTAGAAAATAATGAGGGCATATTAGCTTTGAAGCAATGGGGAAATAAACCATTTTGTTGTTGGTCTTATTAGATCATTTGCTATGTATAAGAAATAAGATGGTTGCAAAGACAATTTTTTCTAAAATATCATTAGGAACTGCAGGATATTACTTATTTCAAATTTTTAAGAAATAGTGTGAGACTGTCTTAGATCTTGTCATACTATATAATTTATAGCAGTTTTTAAATAAATACAAGACCACCTAAAGATGGAAATTTAGGAACCTAGCTAGTTTTCAGTAACCCTCTATTTAGTAAGATATACTCAACAATTGCTGTGTGCCAGGCACTGGAGGTACAAGATAAGAAAGATTCCTTCTGTCAGGTGCTTACAAATGGCAAGTGCGAGACAGTAGTATGCAAGCAAACTATACAAAAGAAATGGGTAGTGAGACGTCTTAAGAAAACAAATAGGCTCACGAGAGATAATGTAGTACACAGTAAAAAAAAAAAACAAAAAACAAAAAAACCTTTTATCAACCAGGTAAGTTCTATGATAGAATTAAATAGAATAAGATTCTGAAATGGAGTGCAGACAGGTTGGTGTGTCCAGTTTGGATAGTAAGTATAGGGGCTTGTAAGCTTATTTTTTATTTGAGACTTGAGAGATGATTAACATCAAGCCATTCAGATGTTTGAAGGAAAGCCATTCTAGACAGAATCAATAAACAATCACAAAGGCTTAAGGTTGGAAAGAGTTTCCTATGCTTGAGGGGTACCATAGATGATAGGGTTGGCGAGATGGGAAGAGACCAGATGAGATATGTCAAGTAGCTAAAGCTAATACCCTGGGGTTTTATTTTAAGTGCAGTCATTGGAGACTCCGATTTCAAAAGATTTTGTTGGATGTCATGAGAAGAGAGAAATAGAGTGGGGGTGGTGACAAAGGGAAGACAGGAAGAGAATAAATGAGATGGACTGGGAGACTGTTGCAGTAGCCCAGGTGAGGTACAGGGAGGGTCCTCAGCCAGCTTGAGAAATGCAGCTCAGGGAATCCAGAGCACAGCTTCTGCCCCTGTTTACAGAGAAAGCATCAGATGAGAAGACCCTCCAGTTCCAAAGTTCCTGGAAACTAGAGAGAAAGGAACTCACAATGCTGATATTTAAATGACTTTTAATAACACTGCAAAGAAGCAAAAAGACAAATTTAGAGTGTGGGATATTCTATTAGACAGGTGACTGAATTTCTTCAGTAGGTCTGTGACGAGAATGTAAAGGAGGGAGTGGTGATAACAGCTTCAGTTCAAAAAGGCTAAAGTATCCTCACAACCAAATTGCATTTAAACTATTGAGATCCTACTCTTTACAAATTCACTGTAAAAGTAGTTTTGGGAACAGTTGGAGAATGTTGACTATGCAATGGATATTAGAGGCTATACAAAATTATTGGCAATTTCTTTAGCCATGACAATAGGATTATAACTGTAAGCGCATGTCTGCAGTTTTTAGAGCTGTGTATTAAAGCCTGGAGGCAAGAAAGAAGTTATGATTTGCTTAAAGTGAGTTTGACTCACTTTTAAATTTTCTGAGTTCAAGTTACCTGCTTATATTCTCAAATTTGAGTGGCTACGTTATCTCTGGCAAAGGGACCCATAGTGTGTATGGAAAGTACTCTATATCTTGGAAATGTACGGTCTTTTGATAGCAAATAATGAAATGGAAGGTGCATGCTTAAATGTTTTTATAGATTCTTCCTAAAGCCTTAGAAAAGTGAGGAAGGATCCCTTCCAATCATGTTTAGGAAATTACATTCGTTATCCTCATCATGAAGGTGAAGGTGAATTTTAATCCTTAAGCAGCCTTGTGGCCCTGGATATTGTTTCTGTAGAAGCCAGCTGATTGTTAGGCAGTAAAGATGGCTAGATTAAATTCCAAAACTTCTGATAAAAGGGTTTTCTCAGTTGTTGTTATTTTGCCTTGTGTTTTTGGTGCTAAGAATCAACTCCAGAGACTTGCTCATGCATAGCACTGAGCTACACCCCGAGTCTTTGCTATAAGGATTTTTGTATGTGATCCATTTGCTTTTCTCTTTATTCTGTTTAAAAAAGTAAAGTACAATCAGACCTTACATTTTACAAGTGGTAAGTGTTAAGGTAATGAAGGAGGGGGAGACGTGCACAGAAATGAGGACTTGTTAAGCAGGTAGCAGTGAGAATGGAAGAGGAACACTAAACATAGCAGATGAGCATAACAAAAAGAGCACCCAGTACTTGGATATCTTTTCCTCAAAACAGTGAAAAGAATGCATATCTTGTTGAAGATGATTGAAAGTTATCATTTCCAGTAAATTCTGCATTATTCATGGTCTCCTGGAAATCATAACTCTATTTTTCTCTCTGTTGGATCTCAGATCGAATAGATGTTTTCCTAGAGGAGTATTCATTGCTATACTATCATTCACATATTTCATTTTGATGTTTTGGAAAGGTCTTAATTATTCAGCTTTCTGTTTTCTTTTCTCTGGGTTGGATGGCAAAGAGTTGGAAAGAATAGAGGGCAGGACTTCCAGAAGAGAGGTAGAGCTGGAAGTGGAGGTGGAGTCGCGCCATGAAGGGTTTCCTCATACGTCTTGATTGTTTTGACCTTCTTTCCCTTTTTCTCTCCTTTTCATTTGAATTTTTCTTCTCAGTCTCTATATGAATTTTCTTTGTCTGGAAACCCATTTAAATATTCACCTCCCCTCTTGTCTTTGGTCCTTTACACTCCCCACAGAGTCTGCCTGAAATGTTTTATCCATATCTTGAGCTTTGCTATGCCTAGTTTCACTATCTGTCTCCATCCCTGATTTGCCTCCTAAATTCTTTCTTCATGGAAGGTTACATCCTGAAATTTTCACCTATGCTCCACAAGCATTCTAAAGATGAAGTGCAGCCATTTTTCTGGAGTAAATGCTACCTTCTTCTTTCGGTTACTAGACCTATGATCCTACCAAGCAAAACTCTTGACATCATTTTTCACTATCTCCCTTTTCTTTTCCTTTACATGCTGTCTTGGTTCAGAGCACTGTCTTTCCTTAGCTTGACACCATGTCCTACCTTGCCTCCCACTCGCAATGTTAGGTCTCTCCAGGCCATCTTCCACACTGCTGCTTGGGTGGATTTGCCAAAATGAAGTCTGTTTCCTAGGGTAAAACTCTGCAGTGACACCACAATGCCTCTTAGACCAAGACCAAACTCCCCAATATGACGTGTGAAGAAGCCTTCCTGAAATGACTCCACTTCCATTTCCAGCCTCCCCTCTCATCCCTAACCCCTGTCCTCTACTCCAGCTACTTGCCACTCCCATGAATTCACAGGCTTCTACATGTGCACTATTCCTTTGCCAAAAATATTTCTTTGCTTATGAGAAATTTCTCCTTTTGTAATACTTATTCCATTGCAGCTTAACTGCATTACCTAGCTCCCTTACTAGTTTCTGCAAGTAAGTATATAGTGTAAGTCATTTGCTCTTCCAATGCTTGATCCAATATCCATATTACATTGAACAGTTTGGTTGGCCTCTTTGAATGCACCACAAATTTTATTGTTCCCCTTCAAATATGATATAAAGAAATTAACATAGTGCTGTACCTCAACCAGTATAGATTTCAATGAGGTTGTTCATCCACTTGAAAGTGACAACTGTTTTAACTACTAACAGCCCCAAGTAATAATCACTAACATAATACAGTGCCTGCTATATGCCACGTACGGTACTGTATACTGGAATAAATTATACTTTATTCATCTACGCACCCTGTGAGGAAGACAGTCTTATTCCACCTCCATATTATACTTTAGGAAGCTGAAACCTAGAAAATTTGACACTTCTCCAGGTAAAGCCTTGGAGAACTTGGAACTCAAACTCACATCCTTGTGATTCTAAACTCTGGGCTTTTTGTGCTACCTGTTATTTCCTTTGGAATTTTCCAATAGTCCAATCTTATACTAACACCTAGGAGCTCAAAGCTGATTAAAATCTGCAATGCCAGCTTTTCCTTCATTCTATATTTGCATAATTGATTATTTGAAACTATATGCTAGAGTCTGCATTTATACTTATTGAAATGCAAAGTGCTAACTTTATTTTTTATAGCCATTATTCCAATCTAGTAACATCATAAGCAAAGAAAATGACTTTTTAAAATATGACCCAGTTTTACAGAATTGAACTTTTATGTCTTTGTGACCACCTATTTATTCCCCAAGTGATCTCATTTATTCAATAATTCTTCCTGAATTATCTAATCACCTTGGAATATATTTTCTTTCCATTCTAAGATCAAGATAAAATGTATCCACTTTTTCTTTAAAGGTAAAATAAGATTATGACAAAGTATTTTTTGCTACACATATTTTGTATCCTTCACTTCACACTTGTATTCCTTGTGGTGCCTTCTCAGTTTTATGATCTTCAAGAACACACACTAAGTATGATCCTAAGACACTCAGGAGGTAGTACTTTCATATGTGAAGGGAATTAAAATTAAATGTCATGTGGACGGTTTTTCCTAAAAGATGTATTAGTGCTTTGAAGTCTCTTAAAGCAAGTCAGTATATAAAGTACAAGCTACAGAGCAAAACAGACAGGAAAAACTCAACTATTTTCTTTGTGAGCATTCAAAAACATTTTTTCAACTTTTAATAATTTTGGAAATGACTAAAATGAAGGTATTCTGCCAAATGGAGCATCAAACTCCCTCGAATGAAGTAAAGTGTCAGAAGAGCTTCACAAAATTTCAGAAGTCATAAGTACAAAAGCCACAGCTTTCTAAAGACCGTTTGGGCAAAGGGAATCACAGATATGTCACTGCCAAAAATATCTAAACAAACTCATTAAAGGAAATAAAAAGTCTAGGTCCTAATTTGTGAAATACATTCTATCATAACAGATACAGCTGTTGTGAGTTTTGTAATATTATCATGTAAATGAAAATGAATATAAAATTCGATGATGTGTTAATCAGGGTCCATTCAGAAGGGAAAAAAGCTGCCTCATAATTTGAAGTGAGAGAGATATGAGGTGTGATCAAAAACTATATGAATGCTTAAATTTAAGAAATTATAATTTTATTATCAATTTGTACATAGACAATTAGAGTCCTGAGGCAGTGCCCTACAGGGAAGAAAGATTACTCTAAACATACCGTATATAGGAATGCTGGCAACTGAGATAGTGGCCCCAAAAAAGAGGATGCCCCCTCCTAGGACTGAGATGCAAACCTCTGTGAAGAGAGTGTGACATGGCTCTCAGCATGGCAAAGAAATTCACTGAGTGGCCACATTGTTAAGACTCCCTAAAATCCACCCATTGGAGTGCTGTGAAGGCTATCCACGGGAAGGGACCACAGCTTGGCATTAGCTGCGGGGTACCCACAGGGACTGCAGAGGATTCCTAAGTGGGGCTTTTGTACATGTCAAGTGTACCTGGTAAGAGAGCCCAATTTTGGCTGCCTAAACAAAAGAATTATTGGAAGAACTATCTGAAGGATCAAGTTGAAGAGGGAGCAACCAGCGTATCACTGAATGTATATATATCTGACATTAACTGATGGTCAGCACTGGCTTGAGTCAGCTTCAGGCTTTTGCTGTGTCCTGATCTAGACTCATCCCTTATCTAGAGGGAAGAGACTCTTCCAGGTGCAAACAGTGGAGAAGAAAACATTTCCAGAAGGCTGTGATAAGAAGTTAGGCAGAATGGATGTCTAATCTATACAATTTTGATTTGTTATCCCATGATGTCTTTAAAAGACTAGTTAAGAGTTTAGGAAGTATTTGTTTAATAGCATTCAAGATAAATCTTAGGATAACACAACTTTCCATTCTCTTATTTTGTAGCCTGAATATGCCAATATTTGCTTTTGGTACATTCCACCAAGCCTCAGAGAGATGGAAGAAGGACCAGAGTTTTGGGAAAAACTTAATTTGGTAAGTAATGAGTAAATTGCATTTTTAGTTTTGATGGATAAACCCAATACCCTTTTGTCTATTGACCCTATAAATAATTCTTGTGAGCACCTCCTAAAGACCTAGAGAGGTGACTACTACCATATTAGAAAATAATGATATGCCAAATATTGTAAGCACTGTTTATATCTAACAAAATAGCACACTTAATACCTACCCACAAATTCAAGGCAGTTGTGCTGTTTGCAAGATAATTATGCCATTTATTAGAAGTTCTGATTCCCAGTGAACTGCAGGAAATGTGATCTTATAATAGGACGCATTAAATTTGTGTAATGAAGAGCTACTGCTTTCAGCTATGCTAGAGCATCCCTCTGAACTCACTTGGAACATTTACATCTGATATCCTTTCTAAGCGTGCAGCATTCTGTCCTCTTCACAAACAAAGGCCTGTATCTTACATACAGAGGGAAAGGAAAAAGATGCCAGGAATGGGTTTCAACTGATCACCGAACAAAATGTGTTAATCAGCGCTACCTTTCCTGTTGTACCCGCGGTATGAATATGTATACTGAGAGTGAATTTAGGGAATCCCCCATGGGGATTATGTGCCCATAACCTGCAGCATGAACATTCCGGATGGGTTGCTGCCATTAAAAGTAAGCAATTGCTTAGCACTCCCGAAATAAGCACAGTGGACTTCATGCCCCTGCTCTTTGTAAAAAAGTAAGGAAAGCAACAAGCATTTACTGAGTTCTCGCCGTATTATGCCCTGGAGACAGTGAGTAAAGAGATGATCAGAGGTAAGTGCAGCTAGACCCTGTCTTCAGCGAGACTGCAGAGGAAGAACATTTACTTCGGTGTGTGACGCCAGACCTGAGTCTTCAATAATAAATACAGGTCAGACAGGTAACAGTTGTGAAGACATAGACTGCAAGAGAAATCACAGCAGGATGACCCAAGGCTCAAGGGGGGAAGATGTGAATCAGAGACTACAGGGACACGAAGGAACGGCAGCGGGATGAGAGGGGGGTGAGAGCTGTAAGCTGAGGGAGGCTCCTGAGGACTCAGCTTCCCAGGCAAAGAGCTTGAGATTTTTGCCGCAACCTAATTAGGAGGAGGAAAGCATGGCATTGCCCTTCAGCGGTGGCTACCTGTAGCTTCACCTGGCGGCGTGCTTTCACCTTCAGGTAATTTTCTGTATCTTAAATGACTATTATGCAAATATAATACCTCTTATCAAGCCCAAGATCAAATAGCAAAAATGGGGAGAGATGGGTGGTTTCATCTGGGCCCTGACCTAGACAAGCCCTTCACCACCCGTTTCAGGCAGTTAACATAATCCTTGGGATTCAGCTTGCATTTTTTTCTCACAATGCAAATAGGACAATGCTTAAGAATACATTGCAGATGGTGAGTGACTGATGAAGAAAAGGCAGGAACTAGGTAGCCTGAGCTTTCAATGGGGTGATTTCCAGGAACCCTCTCCACTTTGATGGGATGAGGGTGACATTTCTTGGTGGGGCGGGAAGAGAGACCACTTCAAGCTGAGGAAGGTGAGGTTGCTGTCTTTCTCACTAAGCTAGAAATCATTTTGGGGTTGTTAAAAAAGCAACAAAGAATGCGATTTTGTTTTTTCCTGACTCAGCACTGTTTTACAGACAGGGATCAGGGTAATTAGGTAGCTTCATTATATTTAGAGATATTTTTGACTCTTCCTTCACTTCCCATTCATAGAAAATTTAAAAATGAGAATGGATATAGGAACTGAAATGAGAGAATGTGTAATATTATATAGCTTTCATCTTAAGTGGAAATTAACCACGGATTGGAGCATTATCTTTTATCATAAATATCTGTCCACATTTATTCTCCTGTGCTTACTACCCATAGGATAGTCCATCGTTTTATTTTGGAAATATTTTTGTGCCCTTTAGAAATGGTCTAATATCACACAATTTTAATTGTTATGACTGTTTCTGATAAGTAAAAATGTATGTTTCATGCAAATTATTGCTGATCCTCAGCTCTTTGTTTCTTCCTATTTTCTTGTGTGTGTGTGTGTGTGTGTGTGTGTGTGTGTGTGTGTGTGTGTGTTTGGCAAAGGGGAAGCAAGGCATATATATACACTGTTAATTTATGTGGCTTTGTACTTACTGTACTATGAGAATGCAAGTATGTGATTTATAACCAGGAGTGTACTTAACGCACACTTGAAATTTATTTTGGGATTTATCTTGCGTGGAGAATCACAGACAAATAAATAAGCCGAATAACGCTTCACCCTCTGCTTCAGACTCGTGTCAGGCTGAGCTGTCAGATGTCAGCGTCTGTGGTGAGATAAGTCTTCTCTTTGGCAGCAGAAGGGAAAAGGGTTTATTTGGTAAAGAATTGGCGTGGCAGAGTGTGTAAATGTGTGTGTGTGTTTGCAAGGACGTGTGTATGTGTGACTGTTTTTGAGAATGCAGTCCCTCTGTGGTCCGATAACACTGACAGTTACTCTGTGACACAATATTTAATCACTGAGTTCCAATGACTTCTCTTTTTAGAATGACCCCATAAATTTTCTTCTCTCTGATTCTTGCAGGCATTTTGGCATCTTGTGTCTTCGTTACTTTCCCGCCTAGACTTTATTTGTCTCTTCTCTGGTCCTTTTGCCTCTTGCCTTTCCCTTTTCTGTTTTACTCTCCTTACTCCCTGCACATCCCTACATCTGGATCTGCTCCAGCATCACTTTCCTACTGAAAGACTCAGAATTGCTTCCCATTCTTTGCAGCAGCAGTTTTCAGTCTGTCAAATCCAGTGACCACTAGTTATAGTAAATACTCTTAATGTTCCTTTTACTCTTCTGAAATGAAACCATAGAAAATATGACTTTCCTATGCACATAATTTTGTAAAGCCAAATAATACCTTTTATGTAACATGAAAAAGAAATTAGTTTATAATAAAAATATGTTTGAGTGTATCAATGCTTGGCCATGACAATAGCAGAAGGCATGTAGAAATGATAAGATTCTTGCACATACTCCTGGTAACACCATGAATGTAAAACATATACAAATACAGACTCTTGTAAATAGATCATGTCGGGCATGCAAACAAGAATGGTGTAGCATTAGTGATTTGATTTTGAAAATGATGCATAATTCTTGATAAAGTGCCAAAGAAAACATTTTTCCCTTGTTTGCCGTGTTCGTAGAAATTCTTTATTAGAATGGGTGCATGGTACTTGGCATTTCATGTAAAACAGAGTGAAGTGCTGGGCTTGAATGATTATAATCAAAGTTTGCACCTTATATCTTCCCCATAGACTGTTTGAAAGTTAGACAGGCCATTAGATAATTCTCCCTGGCTCAGTAATGAACTGCACATTACAGGGCAGCTGGCATCTCTGGTCCCCACCCACTGAATATCAGTAGCACTGGCAAACACTATGAAACTGAAAACATCTGTCCAGGTTTCCAAGACACTCCCTGGGAGGATAGTACCATCCCTGAGAACCACTGGCCTGTGGAGTAAAATCAAAGGTCCTGTGCATAGCATCCAAAGCCCTCCATGGTCAATGTGAACGTACTTTTCTGACTAAATCTATTGTGATTTCTAGTATTGAGACCACAGTGCTGTGTAAGTTGCTAGAGGATTTTCATCAGTTTCCCTACAAGTTAAGAATGAAATTATGGGTACTTTTTGCTAATCAAGTTGGCAAATAACTGTAACTTTGATGTTGCTGACTCATGCTGATGAGAGTGTCAGCAGATTCTGCTAAACTATTTATGGACATACAAATTGTACTATTTTTCTGAACAGCAAGTTTATACTACATATCAAATAGTTTAATTTTGTGTGGTTTCCCCACATTTCACTTTTAAAAAGTAACCTTTTGAATCATTTTTAAATCACCAAGGGTGAAAAGCTATTCAGAAGTTTATAGGTATTATTTAAAGAATCAAATATTTTAGAAGCAAGTACTTGACTATATGGGATGGTTAAATTATACTATATAATTTTGATGCAAATTTGTGTTCAGGCAATTTAAATTCCATTCTAAAATAATATATTCATGATATATCATAAATTGAAAAAAAACCAGGTTATAAGTCAGCCATTACAGTTAATAGTAATTTTGAAAAATTATGTTTATATATACATACACACCTACATACATATAAAATAATGAATATATACTTAGATTAAGAATAATCAGCACCAAAATAGTTCTGGAGAAAAAATTATAAATGATGTTTCTTTCCTTTCACATTTCTTAGCAATTTCTTAATTTTCTATAATTAATTACATGGCTTCTGTGAAAATAGTAATAAATTTTGGGAAAATAAAATAAAACAATTAGCTGAAGTACAGAATTACTGACCCAATGAAGCCACAGACTTTCTTGAGTGCTTGTGTAGACAAAGGTTAGCTAGGTTTTCACAGTGAATACCTAACAATTAAAAAGACATGAGCATTCACCTTCATATTTGTCTACTATTTTTAAACTATCTATAATTATTGCTTTATCAATAGAGCATGTGCATTTTAAAGACGCAGAAACTATGTTTTTAAATGTAAATTTTACATTGTTAGTGTTTTGTTGTGTTTTGGTCTTTGAGACAGGTTCTTACTCACTACATAGTTCTGGCTGGCCTTGAATTCCCAGTGATCCTCCTGCCTCAGCCTCCCAAATGCGAGGATTACAGGCATGTACCACAGTGCCCAGGTACATTTTTAATTATTAAGAGATGCTCTAACCATTTTTTGTTATTGTTGTTGTTGTTTGAGAGAGGGTCTCTCTATATATTTGAGGTTGGCCTTGAACTCACTATGTAGCCCAAAATGGCCTCAAACTCACTGCAGTCTTCCTGCCTCAGTCAGGAGTGCTGGGATTACAGGTGTGCGCCACCACGTCTGGCTAACCTTTTTTTCTAGTACCATAGAAGATTGTCTTCTTTGGAGATCATGATTATACAGTACCTGATCAATTTGCAAACTATTTTCTCTCATGACATGTTCCCAGACATACTA